CCCTGCCATTGGCAGGGACACCTCACATTAAGCCATGCCACCCAAGGTTCTGTCCAACCTGGCCTTTAACACCGCCAGGAATGGAGCATTCACAGCTCCCCTAGGCAACCCATTCCAGTGCCTCACCACCCTTACAGGAAAGAACTTCTTCCTTATATCCAATCTAAACTTCCCCTGGTTAAGTTTTAACCTGTTACCGCTTGTCCTGTCACTACAGTCCCTAATGAAGAGTCCCTCCTCAGCATCCCTATAGACCCCCTTCAGATACTGGAAGGCTGCTATGAGGTCTCCACGCAGCCTTCTCTTCTCCAGGCTGAACAGCCCCAACTTTCTCAGACTACCTTCATATGGGAGGTGCTCCAGCCCCTGATCATCCTCGTGGTCCTCCTCTGGACTTGTTCCAACAGTTCCATGTCCTTTTTATGTTGAGAACACCAGAACTGCACACAATACTCCAAGTGAGGTCTCACAAGAGCAGAGTAGAGGGGCAGGATCACCTCCTCCGACCTGCTGGTCATGTTCCTTTTGATGCAGCCCAGGATACGGTTGGCTTTCTGGGCTGCGAGCCACACTGAAGCCGGCTCATTTTCTCATCGACCATCACCCCCAGGTCCTTCTCCTCAGGGCTGCTTTGAATCTCTTCTCTGCCCAACCTGTAGCTGTGCCTGGAATTGCTCCGACACAGGTGCAGGACTTTGCACTTGGCATGGTTAAACTTCATGAGGCTGGCATCAGCCCACCTCACAAGCGTGTCAAGGTCCCTCTGCATGGCATTCCTTCCCTCCAGTGTATCAGCCGAACCACACAGCTTGGTGTCATCGGCAAACTTGCTGGGGGCGCACTCAATCCCACTGTCCATGTCACCGACAAAGACATTGAACAAGACCAGCCCCAACACCAATCCCTGAGGGACACCACTCATTACTGGTCTCCAGCCAGACATTGAACCATTGACCACAACTCTTTGCATGCAGCCATCCTGCCAGTTCTTTATCCACCGAGTCGTCCAGCTATCAAACTGATGTCTCTCCAATTTAGAGAAGGATGTCACACAGGACAGTGTCAAACGCTTTGCACAAGTCCAGGTAGATGACATCAGCTGCTCTACCCCTGTCCAACAGTTCCGTAGCCCCGTCATAGAAGGCCACCAAATTGGTCAGGCAGGATTTCCCCTTAGTGAAGCCATGCTGGCTGTCACCAAGCACCTTGTTTTTTTCATGTGCCTTAGCATGCCTTCCAGGAGAATCTGCTCCAGGATTTTGCCAGGCACAGAGGTGAGACTGACTGGTCTGTAATTCCCTAGGTCATCCATTTTCCCCTTCTTGAAAATGGGGGTTATATTTCCCTTTTTCCAGTTGTCAGGAACTTCACCTGACTGCCATGATTTTTCAAATATGACGGACAGTGACTTAGCAACTTCATTCGCCAGCTCCTTCAGGACCCAGTAATGGATTTCATCAGGTCCCATGGACTTGTGTAGGTTCAGGTTCTTAAGATGGTCTCAGACCAGATCCTCTCCTACAGTGGGCCCAAGGTCTCCATTCTCCCAGTCCCAGCGTCTGCCCCCCTGCCCTCTAGGGCTACATCCCATGGAACCTTACTAAGCAGGTTCCTGAAAAGGCCAAAGTCTGCTCCCTTGAAGTCTAGGGCAGTGAGCTTGCTGCAAGCTCTTCTCGCTGTCCTGAGGATCTCAAATTCGACCTTCTCATGATCGCTGCATCCAAGGCTGCCCTGGAGCGTCACGCTTCCAACGAGCCCTTCCCTGTTGGTGAGCACGAGGTCAAGCATGGCACTTCCCCTTGTGGGCTCCTCTATTACTTGCAGAAGGAAGTTGTCTTCCACACAGTCAAGGAACCTCCTGGATTGCTTGTGCCAGGCCATACCGTCCCTCCCAACAGATATCAGGGTGGTTGAAGTCCCCCATGAGAACAAGGGCCTGCGAGCATGAGGCTGTTCCTATCTGTCTGTAGAGTGCTGCATCTGCAGATTCCTCTTGAACAGGCGGTATGCAACAGATCCCCACAGTAATGTCTCACATCACTGTTCTCCCTTTAATCCTGACCCACAAACTCTCTGTTAACTGCTTACCTGTCCCCAGACAGAGTTCCATACCCTCCAGCCTTTCCCTAACTTAAATAGCAACTCCCCCTCCCCCCCGTGCCAGGCCTGTCTTTTGTAAAGAGCCTGTAACCTTCCATTCCAACACTCCGGTCATAGGAGCCATCCCACCATGTTTATTTGATGCGTATTATATTATACCCCGGTAGATATGCACACATCTGTAATTCCTCTTGTTTCTTCCCCGTGCTACAGGCGTTTGCATAGAGGCATAAAATGGTTTGTCCAGTGAGGGTCCAGCAAGCCCTCAGTCGCCTCTGTCAGCATGTCTCTTCCCACTTGCCTGCCTGCCCCGGCACCAATCCCACTCTCAAACACGGGAGCTGCTCAAGCTCCCCTGCTTTCCCCCTTAGTTTTCCCTTTTTTTTCCCCACACAGTTTCCCACACCGATATGCAGCAGCTCCAGATGCCTGCCAATGAAAAAGCACTTCTGCTTTAACCCATTTGTGAAATAGGAGGTCACTCATCTAAATGACCTAACAGGGTTTTAATGAGGGAAAAAGTCAATAAAGCAAAAGCAACAGCGCTGGGCACATGACCATAGCCAGAGGTGCGCTGATAACCATTTGTTACAGGTTCATATACTTTCACTACTGCATTAGCCATGCATCACACCCACTCAAGACATAGCATTAAGACAAGGAATATGTTCCGAAATACGTGTATGCACGGAACTGTGCCTGTGTAAGAAAACAGCTCTCTTTTCAGATGCAAGATGCGAGAAGGTACGTAAACATCTGCAGCACAGCTTTTCAGAATAAACCTACAGAGGCTATGTTTTCAGGCAGCACACAAATCAATGCGGTGGTAGCTGCAAAGGATGACCCATAGTGCTGCTGATCATTTCACTGTCACAGTGAATTTATAAGCAGTGTGTTCTGAAGCTCAATCAGGGATCACATGATGTATATTGGCAAGACAAGATTTGTACAACGCCAGTAACATACCTGCTCCTTTCTTTACCTTAAAAAGCAAATCAGTACCTTAGTTGAAAAGTTGGGTTTGGTTTGCTTCTTCTGCAGCTTTGGAAGTGTTTCTCATAGCTGTTACTACCCACGGGAAATAAAAATGAAAGCAATGCGTTTTCCAAGACAAATGAGCCTGCATTAGGAAGGCAAGAAAACACATGAATGTATACAAACAGAACTGGCTGGCAACACGACATCACCGGCACACAGCAGCACCGGTGCAAGCTTGGGAAGGCTGCCTTTGATTACGGAGTAATGAAGCAGGGGATTGAATGACTTCTGTCAGGGAATTACAGTGAATGTCAGAAATATCCTTGTGGTCTGGAAGGCCATAAAAGATTTTTAATCCTTTTCTCATCATCTGAGGAAAGTTTCAGAATTACAAGAGACATCTCAGTTTGTCAATGGCAGCAACAAGGAAGTGCCAAGCCCCCACAAAGCAGTTACCTTCAAACCCTGAGAGCACAGATGCAGTATTTATGTCATCTTTCTGCATTACGCAGAGACTGCCCTGGTGCAAACTTTAAGGATGACAAAGACAGGAGGATGGAGACACTTTCAGTGCCTAAAATTCACCGTGTTTAAATACTAAACAGTTATTTACGACACAGTGTTATTTGAATGACTGCAATTTACATCCACTGAACTGTGACACCGCATTAACTGAAGATGTAATAATTGATTACAAAAGCTTTGACTGTAAATGCAAGTCGTACCTAAAAGAGAGTTAAAAAGCTGGGAAGGGATCTTACTTATTTTCCCATATTAAGACTGGTGAGTAGGACTGAAGTTTTTTCAGGGATGAAGTGTGTATTTGAGAGACAAATACACGGTACGCTGAGGGTAAAAACATTTACTAAAAAGGCAATTAAGGCGAGCCCTGTCCTTTTCACATAACAAAGTCGGCTCTTGCACAAGAAGGTGGGTGAGGAAAAATGATGTGAAAGCCAGGCAAGAAAACTATGCCACGTTCCTGACAATTCACCACATGTGGCAGAAGGCTTTGCTAGGAGGTCCCCATACACACACAGTACCTGCAATAGACCTGACAGAGAAGAGCTTCATCAGTGGTCACCTCCTTCCCATCCACCAGGATCCCTCCTTCTGAGGCCAGACCAGACCCTTCCCACAGCCCATCCTCCCAGCAGATACCCCCCCTTTTCCCCAGGTCTGATGACAGTTTAGGGTCAAAGACTTCCACAAGAGTCCCAGACAGTTTACAGCCTAAGATCAGTCCACTCTGGAAATGACACTGACCAGGTTTTCTGACTAGTCTGTTACAGATAGCTGCAAGAGACACAGACACTCCAGAGCCACCAGTGGCCAGGCAGCCAGGCAGGCATGAAACTGAAGTCAACCAGCACAGAATACCTAGGTATTCTGGGAAGCATCCTGCTCACTCTTCCCAAGTCTGAAGCCTCGACTTTCAGAGCATGTGTGTGTGAATTCATTGCTTAAACTAACCTCCAAGACAACAGTCTCGCCTAAACCAGTGGGCATTCTGCAAAGGCAAGAGGGGCAGCTCACTGGAGCATAGTTCACCTCTAGGGTCATCTTTCAAACCAAGAACCTGCCATCACATGAGTCTGCCCAGCAAATCATGGAAAACTGGCTCGCCTTGGCCAGCAAGGCACAAACACAACTGCCAAATGGTCAAAGCATTTCTGAGCGCCAAGTAATAGGAGAGACTAAAAAAACACCAACAGCTTGCTGCCAGCTTTAGCCAGATTGCTCCTTCCCATCACTGCTGAAAAACTTTGATTAAACAAATTTACAGCACATATATATTTGATTAATCAGCTGTTGGAGTCCCCCACCCCTTTTCTCATGAGGAGAAAGATCACACCCCCTAACCTGGAAGGTCCCCTGCCTTACCCAATACTGTCTGTGCCACATTGTGGGACAGGACTCACCTGACATCATCATCTTCTGTTTCCCCATAGAGCAACATGTCCCCTTCTCCCCGCTCTGCGCTCTCCATTGCAGATGGTATTGCTGGTTAGTGCTGGAGATGAGACAACCTGAAAGGCAAAACCACAGAGGAGTTTTAGAGGGAAGCTGCCTTCATGAAGGGATGGGTCTGAAATGCTGAGCCATACAGCAAGCAGCCTCTGAGCTGCTCCACCAGGCACAGTGGTGAGAAGCAGCCACTGGCCATTTCCACAGCACAGCAGGCATTTTCAAGGAAGCAATCTTGCAGATGGCTCCTGCTACCACTCACACTCTCCTCTCCTGCCTAGCAGCGTTTACTTCAAACCCCAGAAGTAACTGAGTTCTCCCTCCTGTTTCATGAAAGGAAACTAACAAAAAAATCTCCATGGATGTAGCAGGGCACCCAAAGACCTACCCAGAAGCAGGAGTGAGACAACAGATTTATAGCTGAGGTTCCTCTTAAGCAGAAATCCACCCACCTCATTTACAAAATAGACCTGTAATCAGCTTTGTGCAGAGCAGCACCATCACCTTACAGGCAGCCTTGCCAGATCAACAAGGAACTAAGCTGCATCCAGGCTCGTGGAAAGCACTCACTGTAAGAGAGCCAGCCCTCAGACTCTCCCATTCGAGGTCAGCCCCCTCAGGGCTAGAAGACCAGGCAGACAGCTGCTCAGCACAGGGCCAGCACCAGCACATCAGCTGCTGGCTCCCAGCTCACATGGAGCACCCCAGCTATACATTAACTGCCCTCTGGCTCCTCACCCTCAGTTTCTGAAGCCCTGTTCTACAGCCACTTCCACTGCTCTCCGTACTCCAGCACAGGACTCGGCCAGGAGCACTGGGAGCTGGGTCTGAGCACCCAGTTTGGAGGACACATCACCAGGGTGATGGTTTCCCCTGTGATCACACAGTCCTTGGGCTCACTGGGACAGAGCCTTCCCCAAGGAGAGGGCTGACCACAGTACAGTACTCTGTGATGCCCACTGCAGGAACAGAAGTCACAAGGGAAGCAGCCCCACATCTCCAGGGTCCTGCAGCACAAGATAGGACACAGCACAGCCTCCCCAGTTGGAGGGTAGAGGAAGCCAGGTTCAAGGGCGCTATTTTCATTTTGATCACTCACTGGACAGCAAGCACCACACCAGGTCAGCAAACTTGTCACAGCTCCAAACATCCACCATGGGGAAGGGAAACTGAAGCACAGAGGCAGAACCTGCCCAGGCTGAGCCAGGAGCTGGTTGCGGGCCCAGAGGAACAGCCTGCCTGCCTCACAGCACAGCCAGCCTCCTGCCAGCACAGCTGCACAAGTCCTGGCGGCATCCTGGCTTCCTGCGCAGCTGGCTTCAAGTCAGGCACTCCTCAAGAAATGCAGATCCCAAAATTAAACTAGAGAAAGTGGTTCCAATTTATCTTATACTTCCAGACAGGCAGAGTCCTGCAGGTAGGGTGTGCTGCCTCTGCATGCTGACAGGCCTGCAGCAAACGGCACAGAGGAGCAGGTGAGAGCAGAGCTACAAAGAGCACTTCAGCACCACCCTGCAGACAGCAAGAGGCCTGGAGGTGGCTTGACATTCCATCCAACCCAAAGGAAGCCACCAGATCAAGCCTCAGACATGACTAGTTAAGAGCAGCAGCAATGGCTCAAAGCTCCCAATGGCCAGACATACACAGCGTGACCCCAGAGATCATCATTCTACAAGACACATCTGCTAACTCACTTGACAGAGCCTCTGCACCCATCTCGTGCAAAACACTCATGTTAAGCAGCACTCACCAGCTCTGCGACTTTGCTCTCCATGCCATGGAGCATCTGATTGGCTCTAAGAAGCCTTTACCCAAACCTGTAACTACTGTTGTAGAAGTGTCTGCTGCTGGAAGAAGGGGTTAGCACACAAACAGACATTTAAGGACTTTGGTGCAGTCAGACTTGTATCTCCCACAACTCTTTTTGCAGATCCTCCATCTGACATGATCACCTCTACAGTGATAGCCAGGACAGTGACAACACCAGTCCCTTCAGCCGAAAGTGAGGACACTACATACACAGGACAACATGGAAGCTGAGATTTTTCCCTGTACCATCCAGCATAGACATGATGAGCCGTGAATTCAGGAGACAAGTCAGCACAAATCAAACCCCTGTCCTTTTCAGTACTAGGGTATCACATGAGAACTCAGAGGAAGGGAAGTAAAAATCACTGTATCCCTTACCATTACACATCCCTTTTATTTAGAAACTGGTAGCTGAAAGCCCACAACATGGTCAATGCTCAGGGCCCTCATTTCTCATGGTTTTGCTGGCCTGCAAAACTCACCAAGCAGGCGTCTCAAGCACCTGCCCACTTCCACTGCAGAGGCTGGAATGTCATTTCATTTGCTGCATGAGTTCTGCTCATCAAGACATGGCTGATGGGTAAACACATACCTTCTCGGTGCCCTACCAGCAGCCTCCTGGGAGGAATCCAACAGCTACAAGAGGCAGGAGAGTGGGGCTGGAGATTGGAGACAAGGCTTGGTACAAAACACCTCAGCACTCCAAACACTTCTTTCACAATAACAGTGTTCAAACCCTCTGAGAAAACATCCCTATCTCATCTAGCCAGCACTTAGTTTGCCCCTGACACATTTCCACAGCAAGTTTCACACTCAAGATACACAGCCATTCTTCTCACTTCTCTGATTAAGACACTTAATCCCAACAGTCCAGTGCCTTTTTAACAAAGTAGACACTGCTGTGGCAAGGACACAGAACTGAAGCCCTGACTGTGCTTTGGCACCCTTGGGAGAAGCTCAGTAATTTGCAAACACCCAGGTGGTACAGAGTTCAAGTTTGCTCTTCAACCAGTTTACAGCTTCAGGCTATTTGCCCACATGCAGAACTTGCATCCTTGCTTTAACAAGCAGCAGCAGAACGTGGCTGCACCTACCCAAGCATCACTGCAGTGGAGACAAACCCCAGAACCCCAGGCCTAGCAGCTTGAAGAGCCATCACAAAGGTAACCTGGCACTCACATCAGAAGAGCTTCACACCTTCTCCTCCCCTGGGGAGGTTTTGGGGGCTGGAAATGGCACCTCACAGAATAATTTTTACACTGCCTTATCCCAGTTCAAGACTTCACCTGAATATAGAGTACATCTAGGAAATAATTCAAGTCTAAGGCACTTTAAGAGATGCCCATGTAAACGCTACCTCTGTCCCCCACAGCCACAGTCCAGCACCTCAACAAAGTGACCAAGGAAGGAAATTCCTGGTAAATTCACAGATCTTGGCCAGTTCTGCACTTGGGTAATCAGCCCTTGTGACAGGGACTGCATCCAGAATCTGTTTTCTCATATTGCCTGGGAGAACAGCACAGGGGGCACATCACTCGACCAGCTTTGCACCTGGGGAGACTAGCAATGGAGTGTGACAGGCACACATGAACTTGCCAACAGCCTTTGCTGTGTGGAGAGCCAGTACTTGCCCTGCCCCTCCTAGCATGGGGTCAGCTATGCCTGGGACACCCCAAGTGGGGCCAGTGACAGGCACTTATAGCTGATGTACGTAAAGCAGTGCTGTGCTAGGCACTAAGAGGCTTGAAAAACATACCTGTTTCACTCAACAAAGGAAAAGCTAGGGCAGCAGTAGGCTTCATAGGCCTTCATTCATCAAGCTCTTCATTGAGCTCAGCAGGATCAAGAATTATAGAACCACAGAATGGCTGGGGTTGGAAGGGACCTTAAAGCTCATCCGGTTCCCAGCCCTGTTACGAGCAGGGACAGCTTCCACTAGCACAGGTTGCTCCAGGCCCCATCCAACCTGGCCTTGAGCACTGCCAGTGATGCAGAAGAGACAAGTGTCCCCAGGGCACCAGCAGAACCCGGCGCAGCTCCTGTCCTGAAACACTCAAACATCCTCCTAGAGGAGCTGTGTGCAGGAACCACTGCAGGGTATGAGGCAGCCATTCTGGCACGCTCCCTCAGCTGCTGTGTGGACGCTTGCCCACAGGAGTCGAGGGAAGAGATGCGGGAGGCCTGACAAGCACTGGCCCGGCACAGCCGCACACAGCCCCGCTGCTCCCGAGCACACGGCTGGCAGACGCAGCACAGGACCCAGCACAGCTTGAGGCCCAGGCCACAGCCACGGGCCAGGTGCTGCTCCCGGGAGCGGCCGTCCAGGGCTCGCGGGGTAAAGGCACACGGACAACACCCTCACAAGTCCCGCACAGGTTTCCCCGCCAAGCATCGCCGGTACCGGTCCCACATGTCCCGAGAACCGGAAGGAGGGGCGGGCCCAGCACAGCAGAGGCCTGCGGGAGGTGGGGGAGACCCGCGGGTAATCCCGAGGGCCTCAGCCAGGGGCCGCCCCGCAGCATTGCCATGGACACGCGCGGCGCGCAGTCACCCTCTGCCTCTGACGCAGCCCTCGCCACCCGCCCTCCGCCCTGCGGCGTGAAATCAACGCCCGGCCCGGCCGCCCCGAATTTATCACCTACGGTGGGGACAGCGCAGCCAATCAGGAGTCGCCCGCGACACGCGACCACGCCGCCGATCGGTGGAGGCAGCCGGGACGTCACTCAGCGGCCCTAAGTCCCCGGCCCCGCCTCCTTTCGCCTCGCCTCGGCCAATGGCGACCTCCGAGCGAGGCGTGAGGACCCGCCCCGCAGACGGTGGCGCAAGCCCCACGCAGGCGCACTCGGGGAAGGCAACGCGGCGACGCTCAACGAACGTTTATTGCGCGTGGCCATTGCGAGCGGCACCAGCCATGGGAGCCGACCCTGGGGGTCACCCGGTCCCAGCCCTGCCGAGGCAGGGGCACCCGAACGTGTCCAGGTAAGGCTTGGATGTGCCCAGAGATGGAGCCTCCACATCCCCCTGCACACCTTGTTCAGTGCTCTGCCACTGCAATGGAACAAGTTCTTCCTCGTGTGGAGGTCAAACCTCTTCTGTTTCAGTTCATGGCCACTGCTCCTCATCCTGGGGCTGCCCACCACTGAAAAGAGTCGGGCACCTTCTTGCTGGCACCTGCCCCAAACCTCCAATCAGCTCCTTCCACCGGCTCTCCCCTTCTTTATCTCTGAGGGCTCACTCTCCTGGGAAGAAACTGCTTTCAACCTCCACAAGCAGGGTGGTCAATGGGAGGGGGAGACACCAGGGTTTACTCTCAGGGTATCAGACCTCACTGCTCCCCACACTCACCCCACCTAGGGGTCCCCACCTCTGTGGGTCTGGTGGTGACGGAAGAGGTCTGAGCTCTCTTTGAAGCCCTTCCCGCACTCGGCACAGACATAGGGATGCACCCCAGTGTGGATGTGCTGGTGCCGGATGAGGTTGGTACTCTGCCGAAAGCTGTCCCCGCAGTAGGTGCAGACGTAGGGCCTCTCTCCGGTGTGAACACGTTGATGCCGGAGCAGGGTTGACCTCCACAGGAATCTCTTCCCACACTCGGTGCACTTAAAGGGGCGCTCTCCAGTGTGGACCCGCTCGTGTCGTGTCAGGGCTGACCCCACACTGAAGCTCTTCCCACACTCTGTACACTTGTAGGGCTTCTCCCCACCGTGCACCTGCTGGTGCTGGAGAAGCTGAATGTTCTCGTAGAAGCTCTTCCCACACTCGGCACACATGTAAGGCTTCTCCCTGGTGTGGGTTACCTGGTGCTGGATAAGATTCGAGCTACTGCTGAAGCTCTTCCCGCAGGTGCTGCACTCAAACGGTTTCTCCCCAGTGTGTACCCGCTGGTGTTGTGTCACTGCTGATCTCATGCTGAAGTTCTTCCCACAGGTCCCACACTTGTAGGGTTTCTCCCCGGTGTGCACCCGCTGGTGAAGGACGAGCTTCGAGTTCTCGGAGAACGTCTTCCCGCACTTGGAACACTTGTAAGGCTTCTCCCCAGTGTGGGTTACCTGGTGCTGGATGAGCTTCGAGCTCACACTGAAGCTCTTTCCGCAATCGGAGCACTCATAGGGTTTCTCACCGGTGTGCACCCGCTGGTGCAGGACAAGCTGTGAGGTGTTGGAGAAGCTCTTCCCGCACTCAGAACACTTGTAGGACTTCTCCCCAGTGTGGGTTACCTGGTGCTGGATCAGTTTTGAGCTCACGCTGAAGCTCTTCCCGCAGGTCCTGCACTCGTAGGGTTTCTCCCCAGTGTGCACCCGCTTGTGTCGCATCAGGGATGAGGTCACGCTGAAGCTCTTCCCACAGGTCCTGCACTCGTAGGGTTTCTCCCCAGTGTGGACCCGCTGGTGCAGGATAAGCTGAGAGTTCTTAGAGAAGCCCTTCCCGCACTGGGCACACATGTGGGGCTTCTCCCTGACGTGGGTTACCTGGTGCTGGATTAGCTTCGAGCTCACGGTGAAGCTCTTCCCACACTCAGAACACTCATAGAGTTGCTCCCCTGTGTGCACCCGCTGGTGCTGGATGAGATGTGACCGGTCCTAGAAACTCTCCCCACATTTGTTGCAGGTGAAGGGTTTTTCTCTGGTGTGGAAACTCCAATGCTGGATGACGTTGGATCTCACTTGGAAGCTCTTGGATCTCTGAATCCTTTCTGACCTGCGTGAGAGAACAGGGTCCTGTGCAGGTCCCTGGGAACTGTTCTCCTTGGAAAGTCCTGAACATAAACCTTTGGGCTGCACTGGACTGAAGATGCCTTGATGGGCACTGTCTTCATTTGTGCTCACAATCCCATCTTCAGCTGCAATAAAATGAGAATCAAGAGAAGTCACAGGCAGGACTGGAAGCTTTGGACAGGGCAAATCCCAAGTGGCCAAATGCTAAAAATTCAACAGATAGATTGACTTTAAGTATAAAACATTCTGGTATATCCTGCGTTCAGGACATGGTATTTCCCTCCAAACTACACCGTGGAATTTTCAGAGTGTTCACAGGAGCAAATGCTGTAAATTACCCTGCATGCTTCACCAGAACCTGAAACTACTGAAATCACTGGCATATTAGAGGCAAAAGTTTACTGCTTGAATAGGAAAGATGCTTGCTCTTCCAGGATGTTGTACCTGAAAATCATACAACTACAGGATGGTTTTAGCTGGAATGGACCTTACAGATCACATCCAGTTCAAGCCTCCTGCCACGTGCAGGGACACCTTGCACTAAATCAGGTTGCTGCAAGCCCCTTCCAACCTGGCCTTGAACACTGCCAGGAATGGGGCAGCCACACCTCCTCTGGGCAACCTGTGCCAGAGCCTCAGCACCCTCGCAGGGAAGAACTTCTTTCACCTTATCTATGTCTCCCCTCTGTCAGTTTAAACCCATTCCACCTTCTCCTGTCTCTACTTGCTCTTGTCAAAAGCCCCTCTCCACATTTCTTGTTGGGCCCTTTAGGTGCTGGAAGCTGCTCTAAGATCTCCCCAGAGCCTTCTCTTCTCCAGGCTGAACAAGCCCAGATCTCTCTGCTTGTCTGCATAGGATGTTACTAAAAGTTGAACTGGGAGTTAGAGGAAGGCCATAAACAACTGCCTTGATCTGCAGAACATTACTTGGGTTGCAACATTATCTCTGTGCTCTTGTGCTGCTGGTACTGCAGAGAAAGAGAAGATGCACAAGGCAGGAGACATGGACACTGCCTGGAGCCTGGCTTATGCCACTCTTTGAGCAGAAGCAAATTAACTTTATGCTTTCACTGGTGCAGAAGAAATTTGTTGTGTGTGCAAGTGGTGGGTGACCTGAATATCCCCCATGGCTGGTTCCAGATCATGCACTGAGGAAATCCAATACATGTAGAAGATGAAGATAGGTAAAAGTCAAATACTAGCTGAACAGTTACGAATGGCTCCTGGGACACAGGCAATGAGCAGATCCCTGCCCTCTCATGTACATAAAGTCTTGCAGAAGCATTACTGGTATGAATGTTCACTGCACAGACCCAAGGTCACCTGAAAACCTGTTCAAGACAAAAGGCTTTTGCTGATTTCTAGAGTGTTCACAGAGAGCAGCGACTCCTTCCAGCTCACTGCTCTGAATGTTGTCTGGTGAGCATGTAGCAGGTTCAGAAGCATGTGCCAACAATGCTCTGCCTTTTGCTGTCCACAGGAAACATAACTCTTTGCAGGCTAAATGAGCAAGGCAGGACCTGTGTGACATGCACACAAAGCACATCTCCAGATCTGCTTAAAGATTCAACACATATATTCTGGTTCTTTGAATACTCTTATGAAATAGACCAGTAACATATCGGTCACATGGGATTGCTGTACAAACCACTGGCACCTCCTGTGGTCTGGCAGAGCTGTGAGAAGGAAGTGCAGGCCATGGAAGAGGTGAGGTGCTACTGAACCGTAAGTGTGCAATAAAGGAAGGACAGTCTAGAAGTTCGACCACAGACTGATATATGTACATATTTCATTATCCTCTTACAAGGAAGCAAAAGAAAACATCACAATATGATTTCCCAGTGAACTCCTAAGATACCTTCTGTGGCAGCTTGCTGTGGTAGTGAAGCCACTTCTTCCCTCACATGGTTTTCATTAAAACAATCCCTTGAGAGGAACAGAAACTGCAATTTTACTGTTTACCATGAAGGCATTTCCATTTGTCTGCAGCTACTCCAGCCAGGCCTGGAGGAAAAGAGCAAGGTGATAGCCACAGACAGGATGGAAAAAAGATGTTTCTGGCAGGACAGCATGAAGCTATTGACCTGTTCGTCAGACTTACTGAGTAGACAGTGGAACTAGCAAAGTTGTTCTGTTGCCATTGTGTCCAAAGAGATACTGACTTTGGCACTTATACAGAAGTTTGGTTCTTTACACAGACCTTGAAAAAGCCTTCAGAAGTACATGACAATTAAGTTTTCTATGGTGTTCTATACTTTTGGGGGAAGATCAGGAGTGTCAAGATTCTTTTTACAATTATTGTCATGGATCTAGCGCCTCTACAATCCATTCTGTTACTTCTGAGCTACTAGGTACCTTCACTGGCATCTAGGACATGCTGTCTGTAAAGGCCTTAATCAAAATCAAGAACTCACTGGAAGTATTCCAAGTGGAAGGAGAGCAAGGTCACAATGATGAGAATTTTATACTAGAAGCATAAGGCTGAACTGGCAAAAGTGAATATGCAAGAGAGACATGAAGAATGTGGCTCTTCCTCAGCCCTTGCCAATTTAGGTTGATGGCAAGACCTCTGGTATGCCCAAGACTGCCAGTGCTATAGCTACAAGGCAAGCTCCAGGTAAGCAGAGAAAAGGGACATGTGGGGTCCAGAGGCATTCTCGAAAGACATTCATCCTTCACCAAAACTGGTAAAGAAGCTAAGCTGCTGTGGCATGAATGAACCTGACAGGGTGGTAAGGAAGGGAAAAGGGAGGTGCAAACATTTGCTGACGATTTTGTGTTCCTCAGGGCTAAAAACACACAGGCTGACTACAAACTGTGGCACAGCCTTGAGATACTGACCAACCAGGTGACAGGGGACGGTCACTGCAGGTAAACAAAGACCTTCAGAGGAGAACAGCCTCTACAGCATGCACTTACACCAGGCTGGGCCTAGGATGTTCTTGATATCATTCAGGAATAGCACCTTGGAGTCTGAGCAGCTGGATGAAAACTGCAGCGCCTAGGCACACAACACAGCCAGTCAAGCATCAATGAGTACTGGGAGGGAAAGAATATGGAAGAAAAGAGAATGTAATTCTGTCTCGCAGCTCAAACCGCACATTCTGACTGTGTGCAAGGGGGAGGACGGATCCCCCATGTCAGAGACACTCTGACAGAGCTGAGGAAGACAGAGGCATGACAGGAACCATCAGAGGCACAGAACAGATCCTGTATAGGAGAGGAGTCAACTGCCCATTCTGTTGGGAAAAGGTACAGCTGATAGGGGTATCACAGAGGACTATAAAAACACAAGTGGCCTGTGGGGGGGTTTGGCATCTATCCTGCACCATCTGTTCTAAATTAAGAACTCCTGCCAGCAGTAAAAGGCACTTTCAAAGCAAACTAAAGGAGGCAGCAATTCATAAATCACCTAAATAAGCTGGGGAACTCCTTGCTGCAAGCTGCCATGGATGCTACAATGTGCGCAGCTTGAGAAGGCAAGAAGAGAGATCTTGAGACGTTATGTGCCTAGTTCAGGAGCTTCTGAAGCCACAGACGCCTCAGGCCTGTGAAAGGATACAGGGACACATCACTGCTTGTCTGCCTTTCTCTGGGTCTTGATCAAGGGCTGGGCCTGCTGTCTGCTGTCTGAGGAATGGCCGAGAGAGCTGGGCTTGTTCTGCCTAGAGAACAGAAGGCTCAGGGGAGACCTGATCACCACAGTCCACTATTTAAGGGTGGCTATGAAGAAGATGGAGGCTCCCTTTTCACAAGGGGTCCCATGGAAAAGACGAGGGGTACAAGTTACTCCTGGGCAGATTCTGGTTGGACACAAGAGGAAAACTTTTCCCAGTGAGAACACCCAGCCATTGCAATAATCTCCCCAGGGAAGAGGTGCACTCCCCACTG